TGGCTAAAAGAACATTTAACAGTTAATACAGCCTCATAACCAAAAAAATGTTTTAAACACAATGAAGAAATTCATCTAATCCTATATATGTATTGTATTATTTTATGGCTGTGGAACTTGGAAAGTAAAACAATATGAAAAGAAACGACTAGGTGCTACCAAGATGTGATTTTGGAGAAAATAATCAAGAAGTCTTGGGTCGAAAGGAAGACTAACAAAGGCTACAAGAACAGGAGAGAAACAAAACATCATATCCTTCATCATGACAAGGAAAACGAAACTTATTAGATACCTCATAAATATTTCTTGTGTTATTTGTTTAGGCTTCTGTAGGTTATGTGGAATAGAATTTGGTTTTTTTTTGGCTTTGAAGTTTGGAATTTTTTTTACTGTTTAATGTAGGACTGTTTTTTGTTCATCGCCGTATGTTATTGATGAATTTTAATAAGTATTTGTTTTATGGATTGTCTTCTTTATGGTGTGATTTTTACTGTTTGTTATAGGTCGGTTTTTGGTTCTTTTTTGTGAATTATGTTAGGGATATGTTTAATGATTTGTCCTTTTTGTGTTGGGCATATTTGTTATCTTTTATATGCATATATAATAAAGAATTTCTTTTGTTTGGTTGTTTGTAGGTAGTAATGATCAGCTGTTTAACTCTTTTGGCTTTGAATTAGGGAACTGTTTTAACTATTTGATTGAGGTATGTTTTTTATCTTTTGATATTTGTGTTAGGTAATTGTTTGATAGATTGTCCTTTTAATGGTATTGGATAAATCTGTTGTCTATTTTCATGAGTGGTATTTCTTAGTTTCTTCTTTTGGATTGTTTCTTATGTTAACTGTTATGTTGGTCTGTCTTGTCTTCTGCCTTTTTTTGTCGATTTTATTGGTATTTATTATCCCCCAGGGGAACACGTTCTTACGTGTTTACGGGTCTAAGCGAACCCGGGGTCCCGAGCTATTTGTTTGGTTGTCTATTGTTAGGAATGATCAGCTGTTCAACTTTTTTTTGTTCGAATTAGGGAACTGTTTTATTTATTTGATGTAGGTCTGTTTTTTATTTTTTGTGTTTTTTAATTGATGATTTTAGATAGGAATTTGTTTTATGGATTGTCTTTCATATCGTGTCATTTATGTTTTTTGATATTGGTCAGTTTTTTGTTTTTCATTTTTTGTTTGTGATTTGCATTAGGTATTTGTTTAATGGATTGTCTTTTTTATGGTGTTACATATATTTGTTATCAGTTTTTGCTACCAAATAGAAATATAGTTTTTAAATTTTAGGTATGTTTTATTCCTTGGTTTTTTTTTTTTTTTTTTTGTTATTTGTTTTAGATATTAATTTGATGGATTCTTCTATATATGATATTCAATATATTTATCTATTTTTATGAAAGGTATTTTTAGGATTTTTTTCAATACTTTATTAAGTTGTGTTCAATTGTATTGATTTTTATTTTTATTTACAGAACCTGGATTTTTTTTTTCTTAAACCAAGGATTCTTCGGAAGCCAAGTTGCCATAAATTTAAATTGATCTATCTAATTTTGTTTCAAAATATTCAAATTTTAATTCATTTCATTTTATATTTTTTTTCAGAACTTGGATTTTATTTTTTTGATTCAAACTTAAGAAAGTGTCTTTCAAGATCTAGGTAACCACTTAAATTTATTTTTTTTTGAATTTTATACTTAATTTATTATATATTATATAATTAACTAACAATAATTAACTTCTAAAAATTGTGTTTATAGATGTAAAATATAATTCAATGTAAATTAAACAGTCTAATTTTGTTTCAAAATATTCATATTTTAATTCATTTATTTTTATGCTTTTTCAGAGTTTGGATTTTTTTTTTTTTTTACTGACCCAAATCAATTTTCCTCCGGGAGCCGGGGTCCCCTTTTCATTTTTACTTTTAAACTCTACACTTTGAATTCTTTATGGTACAAAAATATTATTAATCTAATTTACATAAAATATCTTAATAAATCTGATATATTTCTTTTCAGAACTTAGATTTTCCTTTGTTTCAACCTAAACATAGTGTGTTTCGAGAGCCGGGTAACCACTTATAATTTATTTTTGTTGAATTTTATTCATTAAATATTTAATGGAATAAAAATCAAATTCATTTAATTTACATAAAATACTTTGAAACTTTTAAATCATTTGATTAAAAATAACTAATAATAATTAACTCTTGATAGATGACGCTCATAAATGTAAAATATAATTCAATTTAAATTGATCTATCAATTTTGTTTCAAAATATTCAAATTTTAATTAATTTCATTTTATATTTTTTTTTTCAGAACTTGGATTTTTAATTTCCTATCAACAATCCATCTAAGGAATTTACAGACCCTTGTGGTAGATTCTTCAGGTTGGGTGTGGTCAGGTCAGGTTGATCTGTGTGCAAACACTTCATCATCGTAAAAAACTATTTTTCAGGAATTCATCAATTATATCGAGAAGAGTAATGGAAACAAGATTGGAGTTATCTATATTTAAGTATTTCTTTTTTTATTTATAATGTATTTACTAGGAAGAGCGCAATAGGTTTTGTGTTTTGGCTTCCAATAAGAATTTAATTATTTAAAATTTTATAATCTTAATTTTGTCTAGAGTTGGATATTTTTGTTTTTTATAATTAACAGTGGTTTTTCTATATTTTTTTTGGTTATATAATTATGTAGTGTAGAAAATTATTTATGTGTTGACTTTTAATGAGGAATTCTCTTTTTACTATTTGATGTAGGATTATTTATTGTTCTTTGGCTGATCTTTTTTATGATTTTTGCTAGGTATAAGTTTGTTGAATTGTGGCGTTCGGTGTTGGAAATATTTTTTGTCTGTGTTTACGAGTCTTAAATCTTGAATTATTTTTTTTCTTGCTTGTAGGTAGGGTTGAACAGCTGGTCATTTGTTTAGGCTTTTAATTAGAGATCTTCTTTTTACAGTTTGATATCTTGTTGGTTTGTTGTATGTTTGGTAGTTGTATTTAGATTTTTAATAGATATTTGTTTAGTGTACTGTTGTCGTTTTGATGTTGTATATATTTTATGTGTATTTTTATGTTAGATTTTAATATTTGGTTTATTATTTTGCTTAGACGTTTTGTAGAATGTGTTGATTAGTATTTATATTCTGGTTTCAATTTATTGATTATATTTTAACAGTGTTATGTCTAGTTGATTTTTTTTTCTTTTGGTTTATGTTTTAAGAGTTTTGATAGTTAGTTGTTTGATGTAAAATTGTCGTTTTAGAGTTGTATATATTTTATGTGTATTTAAATGTTTGGTAATTATTACATCATATTGGTAGTTTGTAGGTAGGGTTGAACAGCTGGTCATTTGTTTTGGCTTCTAATTAGAGATCTTCTTTTGATGAAATGATGTCCTCTTGATGTGTTATGTTTTTGGTTTTAGTTTTAAGATTTTTATTAGGTATTTGTTTAGTGTACTGTTATCGTTTTGGAGTTGAATATATTTTATGTGTATTTTTATGTTAGATTTTAATATTTGGTTTATTATATTGTTTAGACATTATGTTAAAATAATTATTGTTATAATTAATAATAATAATAATAATAATTGTTTAAATTTGATAAAAGTTATTACTGTTTGTTATAGGTCTGTTTGTGTTCTTCGGCGTCTTATTGTGATTTGTTTAGGGATTTTTTATCCCCCAGGGGAACACGTTCTTACGTGTTTACGGGTCTTAGCGAACCCGGGGTCCCGAGCTCTTGTTAGGTTGTTTGTAGGAATTTCTGACCAGCTGTTCAACTGTTTTGGATTCGATTTAGGTATATCTGGTATATCTAGGTAATATCTGACCAGCTGTTCAACTCTTTTGACTTTGATTTAGGGAAATAGTTGTACTGTTTGTTATTGGTCATCTTTTTGTTCATCGGTTTTTCTTTTTGATTGACATTAGTTACTTGTTTAATTGATTGTCCTCTTTATAGTAATAGATTTATTTGTTGTTAGTTTTATGAAAGGTATTTCTTGGTTTTTTTTTTTTTTTTTTTTTGGTTGTTTCTTATTTAGTATTGAATAGTACTGAATTTTTGCTACTAAATAGGAATATGATTTTTACTTTAATATTCTTGGTTTTGTTCTTCGGATTTTTTTTTTTTTGTGATTTATTTTAGGTATTTGTTTGATGGATTGTTGCTTTATGTGGTATTAGATATATTTGTCTATTTCAATGAAAGGTATTTTTTGGTTTATTCCCAATTATTTTTTAATGTTGTATTCAATTGCTTTAGTTTTATAATTAATTTCAGAACATGGATTTTCTTTTTTGTATCAACAACACATGTAACCTAAACAAGGATTTTTCGGGAGCCAGGTAATCACTTTTAATTTTTTTTTTTTTGTTAAATTTTATACATTAAATATTTAATGGAATAAAAATCAAATTCATCTGATTTACATAAAATAATTTAGATCTCTT